TCACAAGAAGAAATAGATGAATTCACTATTATACGTGGAAATGTTAACACCCCTCTATCAGTAATGGAAAGATTCAACAGGTAGAAAATCAGTAAGGGCAAACAAATGGGTCTAATTGACATCTATAGACTATTTCATCTAACAGTATCAGAATAATCATTCTTCTCAAGCTCACAGGGAACATTCGCCAAGGTGGACCACATTCTGGACCATAAACCCACCTTAATGAACTTAAAAAAATAGAAATCATATAATATCTATGCTCAGACCATAATGGAATAAACCTAAAAATCAATAACAGAAAGATGAAAAATACCATATTTAAAAACACTTCTAAATAACATATGAGTCAAAGAAGAATTTTCAGGAGAAATTTTTAAATATTTTGAAGACAATGAAATACAACTTACCAATTTTTTAAGATACAGTGGAAGCAGTGCTTAGAAAGAAATTTTAACACTGAATACATATCTAGAAAAAAGATCTAAAATCAATAATCTAAACTTTCACCTTACTAGAAAAATAAGACAAAATTAAGTTCAAAGGAAACAAGAAAAGAAATAATACAAAAAAACAGAGCATAAGTCAATGAAATTGGAAACAAATCAATTGAGATAATCAACAGAACCAAAAGCTAGATCTTTGAAAAGATCCACAAAATTTATAAGACTCTAGCCAGCTAACTAAGAAAAAAAGAAAGAAGACACAAATTACTAATGTCAGAAATGAAATACAGGAAATCACTACAGATTCTATGGACATTAAAAGAATACTAAAAGAATATTATGACCAATTCTATGCCACAAATTTGATAACCTAGATGAGATGGACCAGGTCTTTGAAAGAGACTATCTACCAAGACTCAAACAAGAATAAATAGACAATCTGAATATGTATATATTTATTAAAGAATTTGAATCAATAATTAATAACCATCCAAAACAAAAAGCACCAGCCCCAAATGGTTTCCTGGTGAATTCTACCAAACATCTAAGTAAGAAATTATACCAATTCTTACAATCTCTTCCAAAAAATAAAAGCAGAGTGAACAGTTCCTAACTCATTCTGAGGCCAGCACTAACATAATACCAAAACCAGGCAGAAATAATACAAGAAAAGAAAACTCCTAAATATATAAAGCAAACTCTGGCAGAATTGAAGGGAGAAATACAGTAGTAGGAGGAGACTTTAATAACCCACTTTCAGCAATGTATTAAAAAAAACCCAAATGGTAATATAGGTGATCCCAGCCTCACCATCCCCCAACAAAGATCTATAATTAGACAGCTATCCACAAACAAAAACAGTCTGGGAGAGCCTAGAATCCACTTAAGAAATTTTAGCAACACAATGGAAACAAACAAACAAACAAAACTACCATAATTGCAATAAGAATGGAAGGAAGACAACTTCATTTTGCGTGCATCATCTCACCTTCCAGGCCAGCATTGCTCAGTGCCAACAGGGAACTTTCCAGCTAAAGTTCTCCTTACCAGGAAAAAAGGTATAGGGTGAGCAATCAGCTTGCCCAGCATTTTAAGGCAACACACAAAGGTCCTGCTTTGATTTCACCTCACCCAGACCAGCAAAGCTCAGATGTATAGAGATGGCTAGGAACAGGGAAGAAAATCAGGGGCTATTAATAGCTGCCACACAGCAAGAGCTTGGTGGATCACAGAGACGAGCTCTGCAGACAAACTCAGCAGATTTCACCACTGGTAAAACCACCAGCCAGTACAGATACCATAGACTCCCTTCATATTTCACTGGCTTTTGCCCCACAAGTATTCATGATTGCAAATGCCAGCCACCTGAGTCTCTCCCTGCAACCTCCCCCCATCCTGAGCAAAGACCAAATGGCACTGGCAGCCAACTTAGGCCTCTGGCTGCATGGATGCAAAATGCCAGCCTAAACACACACACCCCATCCCTACCACTGTGTGCATGTTCAGGGATAGCCACTCTAGCTGTGCATCTACATAGCACACCACCAACATGATGCATGTCATCAGCCTCCACTACAGTGCACATGCCTGGGGGGAGAGTGAATAGTCACAGGAAAACACAGTGACAGCAGGGGTTTCCATAGCTGCTTATGGGACCAGATTAGGTCCTGTCTTCTGTCACTGGCCAGCACCACCACACCTGTAGCTACCACCTCCAGCTGTATACATGGATGCCACCAGCCTAATGCCTGTCATCAGACTCCACTGCAGTACACCTGCTCAAAAGGCAAGTGTGCCGCCTCAGGAGGGCACACTGACAGCTAAGGCCACCACATCTACCAATGAATATGTAGTTGGCCCCCAACACTACATGAGCATCTGCAACCAGTCTTTGCCACAACACAGATACCCACAACTGGCCCCTGCAGCTGAGAGTGTGCACACCACCAGATCTGACCCCACTGCTGCCTGTCCTTGTCCCTAGCCACTGGAACTGAAGGTACCAATGAGGACCCCCAACAGTGCTTGGAGCCACTGGGGACCCCCCCACAGTATTTGCCAAGGACCACTCAGTTGTTGACGGTATGGACCCCAATGGCCTGAGCTGAAGACACATCACACACCCCTGGATCTGGTGCCTCAACAAGCCCCTGAACTTGGTGCCCTGCACCACTAGACATGGAGTCTCAGCACACTCCGGAATGCCCCCCACCTGCACATGAAAGACTTATGTTACTGAAGTCAGTCCATAAAGTCTGGAAGAGATAACTGCTTCTTCAAATATGCAGACACCTATGCAAGTCTAAGGGGATCAAGGAGAATCAGGAAACATGACTCCAAGGAATACAGTAAACTTTCATTAACTGGCCACAAAAAAATGAAAATCAAGGAATTTCACAACAAATAATTCAAAATAGTTGTTCCAAAGATGCTCAGAGAGCTAGAGAGCAAGAGGATACCGATAAACAACTTAATGGTATCCAGAAAACATACAAGTACAAAATGAGAAGTTCAGTAAAAAGCATGAGAAATTCAACAGAGAGACAAAAAACATAAAAAAGACCTAACCAGAAATTTTTAAACTGAAGAATACAATGAGTGACCTAAAGAATTTAATAGAGAACTTCAACAGTAGTCTTGACCAAACAGAACAAAAAATCAGTGAGTTAGAAGACAAATCAATTGAAATTATCCAATCATAGGAGCAAAAAGAAAAAAATTAATGAAAATAAATGAAAAAAAAACCCTATGGGACTTATAGGACACTATCAAGAGAAGCAATGTATGCAACACTGGAGTACCAGAAGTAGAAGAGTAGAAGAAAAAAGGGGTAGAAAAGTCATTTAAAGAAATACTGACTGAGCACTTCTCAAACCTGGGGAGAGATCTGGATATACAAGTTTATGAAACTAATGGGTCACCCCAAATTGATCTTCACCAAAACACATAAAACTAAAATCAAAGCCAGAATTTTAAAAACAGCAAGAGAAAAAAAATTATCTCCTATGATGGAATCATCATAATGCTATCAATAGATTTCTCAGTGGAGAACATGCAGAACAGGAGAATGGGTTGATGTATTCAAAGGGCTGAAATAAACTGCCAACCAAGAATACTCTACACATCAAAGTTGTCCTTCAGAAATTAAAGTAGAAAGGTTGGAAGGAGTATTTCAAGGCCACAGGGGAAGGGAGGGAAAACTGATGGGAAGAAATCAGAGAGGGAGACAAACCATGAGAGACTCTTGACTCTGGGAAACAAACTGAGGGTTGTGGAAGGGAATGGGGTAGGGTAACTGGGTGATGGGTATTAAGGAGGGTACACGTGGTGATGAGCACTGGGTGTTATACACAACTGTGAATCATTGAACACTACATCAAAAATTAATGATGTACTATATGTTGGCTAACTGAACATAATAAAAAAATTTAAAAAATTAAAAAATAAAAGTAATGCCACACTGTTTTCCAAAGTGGCTAAAAACAAAAACAAAAAACAAACAAACAAAAAGAAAGTGAGGGGATGAAGAAATATGTATCATGCAAATGGATGTCAAAACAAAGCCAGAGTAGCAATATTTATATTTGACAAACTGGATGTTAAAACAAAGACTGTAATAAGACACAAAGTAGGGAACTAAGTAATAATAAAGGGAACAATTCAACAAGAAGATCTAACAATTGTAAATATTTATGCCCCTAAAATGGAAGCCCCAAAAGCAATTAATGACAAACATAAAGGAACTAATTGATAATAATACAATAATAGTGGGGGTCTTTAACACCCCACTTATATCAATAGACAGATGATCTAAACAGAAAATCAAAAAGGAAACAATGGCTTTGAATGACACACTGAACTAGATGGACTTAACCAACATATTCAAAACATTTCATCCTAAAACAGAAGAATACACATTCATTTCAAGGGCACATGGGACATTCTCCAGAATAGATCACATATTAGGTCGCAAAACAGGCCTCAACAGATAAAAAAGATTGAGGTCATACCATGCACATTTTCTGGCCAAAATGCTATGAAACTAGATGATAACCACAAGAAAAATATCTGGAAAGACCACAAATACATGGAAGTTAAACAACATGCTACTAAACAATGAATGGGTCAACCATGAAATCAAAGCTACTAAACAGTGAATGGGTCAACCATGAAATCAAAGAAGAAATTTAAAAATACATAGAAACAGGGCCACCTGGGTGGCTCAGTTGGTTAAGTGTCTGCCTTCAACTCAGGTCATGGTCCCAGGGTCATGGGATTGAGCCCCACATCAAGCTCCCTGCTCAGCAGGGGAGTCTGCTTCTCCATCTCCCTCTGGCCCTGATCATGTGCTCTCTCTCACTCTCTGTCTCTCAAATAAATAAACAAAATCTTTTAAAAAATACATGGAAACAAATGAAAATGAAAACACAGTGGTAGAAAACCTTTGGGATGCAGTAAAATTGGCTATAAAAGAAGGAAGTATATAGCAATACAGGCCTACTTCAAGAAGCAAGAAAAAAAACTCCAATAAAAAAAAAAACAACCAAAATCGATCTAAGATGGCAACTGTGGGACCGGAAACCACCCCTAGTCTTAATCCCCCGCCTACAGAAGAAGAGAAAACAGAATCTAATCAGGAGGTTGCTAACCCAGAACACTATATTAAACATCCTTTACAGAACAGATGGGCACTCTGGTTTTTTAAAAATGATAAAAGTAAAACTTGGCAAGCAAACCTTCGGCTGATCTCTAAGTTTGATACTGTTGAAGACTTTTGGGCTCTGTACAACCACATCCAGTTGTCTAGTAATTTAATGCCAGGCTGTGACTACTCACTTTTTAAGGATGGTATTGAGCCTATGTGGGAAGATGAGAAAAACAAACGAGAAGGACGATGGCTAATTACATTGAACAAGCAGCAGAGACGAAGTGACCTGGATCGCTTTTGGCTAGAGACACTGCTGTGCCTTATTGAAGAATCTTTTGATGACTACAGTGATGATGTATGTGGAGCTGTTGTTAATGTTAGAACTAAAGGTGATAAGATAGCAATATGGACTACTGAATGTGAAAACAGAGAGGCTGTTACACATATAGGGAGGGTATACAAGGAAAGGTTAGGACTTCCTCCAAAGATAGTGATTGGTTATCAGTCCCATGCAGACACAGCTACTAAGAGCGGCTCCACAACTAAAAATAGGTTTGTTGTTTAAGAAGACACCTTCTGAGTATTCTCATAGGAGACTGCGTCAAGCAATCGAGATTTGGGAGCTGAACCAAAAGCCTCTTCAAAAGCAGAGTGGACTGCATTTAAATTTGACTTCCATCTGAATGTTGCTAAGATATAAGAGAAGTCTCATTCGCCTTTGTCTTGTACTTCTGTGTTCATGTTTTTTGTTTTTTTAATTTTGGCTAGAGTGTCCACTATCCCAATCAGAGAATTACAGTACACATCATCCCCAGAATCCATAAATGTGTTCCTGGCCCACTCTGTAATAGCTTAGTAGAATTACCATTACAAACACATCTTACCCATCCACAATATTCAAAAAAGAACTTGCATTTCTATACCTTACAGGAAAAAAATTCTGTTTATGTTCCATTGTATGCAGGAGCATATTTTGCTGGTTTGAAAGAGTATAAAGCATACAGTTTTCTAGCAATTTTCTTTCTTTCCTTTTACAGCATTGTCTTTGCTGTACTCTTGCTGATGGCTGCTAGATTTTAATTTATTTGTTTCCCTACTTGATAACATTAGTGATTCTGATTTCAGTTTTTCATTTGTTTTGCTTTTGTTTTTTTCCTCATGTAACATTGGTGAAGGATCCAGGAATATGACACAAAGGTGGAATAAACATTAATTTTGTGCAAAAAAAAAAAAAAAAAAACCAACTTTACACCTAAAGGAACTAGAAAAAGAACAACAAATCAAGCCTAAAGTCAGCAGAAGGAAGAAAATAATAATCATTAGAGCAGAAATAAATGATATGAAAACTAAAATAACCCAATAGAACAGATCAATGAAGCCAGGAGCTGGTACTTTGAAAAAAATCAATAAAATTGTTAAACCTCTAGCCAGACTTATTAAAAGGAAAAGAGGACCCAAATAAATAAAATCACATTAGAAAGGAGAAAGAACAAACAACACCACAGAAATCCAAACAATTATAAGAGAATATTATGAAAAACTATATGCCAACAAATTGGACAACCTGGAAGAAATGGATGAATTCCTAGAAACATACAAACTACCAAAAGTGGAAGAGGAAGAAAGAGAAAACTTGAACAGACCAATAACAACCAAAATAATTGAATTAATAATCAAAAATCTTCCAACAAACAAAAGTCCAGGGCCAGATGGCTTCACAGGGGAATTCTACCAAACATTTATTCCAAAAAATAGAAAAGGAAGGAAAACCTCCAAATTTATTCTATGAAGCCAGCATTACCCTGATACCAAAACCAGATAGTCTCCACTAAAAAAAGAGAAGTGCAGGCCAACATCCCTGATGAACATAGATGCAAAATTCTCAATATAATACAAGCAAATCAAATCCAACAACACTTTAAAAGAATTATTCACCACAATCAACTGGGATTTATTCCTGTGTTGCAAGAGTGGTTCAATATTTGCAAATCAATCAACATGATACACCACATTAAAAAAAAAAGGATAGGAACCATATGATCCTCTCAATAGATGCAGAAAAAGCATTTGACAAAGTGCAACATCCATTCATAATAAAAACTCTCAACAAAGTAAGGTTAGAGGGACTATACCTCAACATAATAAAGGCCTTATATGAAAAACCCACAGTTAATATCATCCTCAATGGGGAAGAACTGAGAGCTTTTCCTCTATGGTCAGGAACAAGATAGGGAAGTTCACTGCCACCACTTTCATTCAACATAGTACTGCAAGTCCTAGCCCCAACAATCAGACAAAAAAAGAAATAAAGGGCATCCAAATCAGCAGTGAAGAGGTAAAACTTACACTGTTTGCAGATGACATAATTCCACACATAGAAAACCCAAAACACTCCACCAAAACCTGCTAAAACTAATAAATAAGTTCAGTAAAGTCACAAGATACAAAATCAATGTACAGAAATCTGCTGCATTTCTATACACCAATACTGAAGCAGCAGAAAGAGAAATTAAGGAATCAACCCCATTTACAATTGTACCAAAAACCATAACATACTTACTAGTAAACCCAACAAGGTGAAAGACTTGTGCTCTGAAAACTGTAAAATGCTCATGAAAGAAATTGAAGATAGCAAAAACAAATGGAAAGACATTCCATGCTCATCAATTGGAAGAACAAATACTGTTAAAATATCTATACTACCCAAAGCAAAGTACACATTTAATGCAATCCTTATCAAAATACCAATAGCATTTTTCACAAAGCTAAAACAAACCATCATAAAATTTGTATGGAACCACAAAAGACCCTGAATAGCCAAAGCAATCTTGAAAAAGCAAAGCACAACTGGAGGCATCATAATTCTGAACTTCAAGTTATATTACAAAGCTGAAGTGATCAAGACAGTATGGTCCTGGCCCAGAAATAGACACATAGATCAATGGAACAGAATAGAAAACCCAGAAGTGAACCCACAACTATATGGTCAATCAATCTTCAACAAAGCAGGAAAGAATATCCAATGGGAAAAAGACAGTCTCATCAATAAATTGTGTTGGAAAAACTGGACAGCAACATGCAAAAGAATAAAACTGTACCACCTTCTTATACCATACACAAAAATAAATTCAAAATCACTTGAAGTCTTAAATATGAGTCCTGAAACAATAAAAATCCTAAAAGAGAACACAGATGATAACCTCTTAGACATCAGCCATACTAGCTTCTTTATAGATATGTCTCCTGAGGCAAGGAAAACAAAAGCAAAAATAAACTACTGGGACTTCATTAAGATAAAATCTTCTACACTGTAAAAGAAATAATCATCAAAATTAAAAGGCAACCTACAGAATGGAAGAAAATATTTACTAATGACATATCTGAGAAAGGGTTAGTATCCAAAATATATAAAGAACTCAGAAAATTCAGCACCCAAAAAACAATCTGATTTAAAATGTGCAGAAAACATGAATAGATATTTTTCCAAAGAAGATATACAGATGACTAACAGACCCATGAAAAGAGACTCAATATCACTCATCATCAGGGAAATGCAAATCAAAACTACAGTGAGATATATCACTTCACACCTTTCAGAATGACTAAAATCAACAACACAAGAAGCAACAGATGTTGGTGAGGATGTAGTGTAAATGCACTCTTGGTGTAAATGCAAACTGGTGCAGTTTCTCAGGAAAACAATATGGAGGTTCCTCAAAATGTTAAAAGTAGGGGCGTCTGGGTGGCTCAGTCATTAAGCGTCTGCCTTCGGCTCAGGTCCTGGGATCAAGCCCCGCATCGAGCTCCCTGCTCCTCGAGAAGCCTGCTTCTCTGTCTCCCACTCCCCCTGCTTGTGTTCCCTCTCTCGCTGTCTCTTTCTCTGTCAAATAAATAAAATCTTTTTAAAAATGTTGAAAGTAGAACTATCTTACAATCCAGAAATTGCACTACAAATTCAAATACAAATACTAATTCAAAGGGTTACATGCACCCCAATGTTTATAGCAGCATTATCTACAATAGCCAAGATATGGAAGCAGCCCATGTGTCCATCAACTGATAAATGAATAAGAAAGATGTGGTATATATGTGTATGTGTGTGTGTGTGTATACGTGTGTGTGTGTGTGTATATATATATATATATATATATATGAATATTTGGAATATTAGCCATAAAGAAGAAAGAAATCTTGCCATTTGTAACAACATGGATGGAGCCTGAGAGTATTATGTGAAGCAAAATAATTCATTTAGAGAAAGACAAATACCATATGATTTCACTCATATGTGGAATTTAAGAAACAAAACAAATGAGCAAAGGAAAAAGAGAGAGAGAGGCAAACCAAGAAACAAATTCTTAAAACTGTAGAGAACAAACTGATGGTTACAAGAAGGGAGGTGGGTGGGGGGAATGGGTGAAATGTGTCATGGGGATTAAGGAATGAACTTGTTGTGATGGGCACCAGGTGTTGTATGGAAGTGTTGAATCACTATATTGTACACCTGAAACTAATAATAACTATGTTAACTAACTGGAATTTAAATAAAAACAAAACAAAACCAAAAAAATCAACCAAAACTGAATCATGAAGAAATAGAAAATGTGAATGATCAGTAACAAGCGAGGCAATTGAATTAGTAATCAAACACCTGCCAATACAGAAAATCCCAGGATTAGATGGTTTCACTGATGAATTCTGGCAAACATTTAAAGCAGAATTAATGCCAAGTCAAACTCTTCCCAAAAACTGAAGGAGAAAAAGGAGGAGGAGGAGGAGGAGGAGGAGGAGGAAGAAAATTCCCAAACTATTTTAGAAAGCCATCATTACCTTAACACCTGTGAGGTAATAGAAACATATATATTGGTGTCTGCCTCTGGTTCTTGATACGGAGCTCTGAAACCCTTGTAATTTCCTAAGTGATAAGAGCACCAGGAACATATTTTGTTCTAATATTTGGTCTTTGACCCCAATTCCTGACACAGGGCTCCTGAAACCCTTTAATTTCCAGGGTAATAGGAGTGTCTTTTGTTCTAATGAGGCAACTCTGAATGGGCTGCTGGAGGGCTCCTGGGTGAGGGCTGATCACTGGAGAGACCAAGCTGATTAGAAGCTCAGAATTTTCACCTCCCCTATTCTTGTGAGATGAGAGAAGGGCTGAAAATGAAGTTAATGATCAATCATGCCTATGTGGTGAAGCCTCCACAAAATCCCAAAAGTACAGGGTTCCAACATCTTTCAGGTTGGTGAACACATGGTGGTGCTGGGAGAGTGGCATGCCCTTTCTCCATACCTTGACTTATATATCTCTTCTGTTTGGCTGTTCCTGGGTTATATCCTTTTACAATAAACTTATGATCTATTAAGTAAAATGCTTCTTTGGGTTCTGTGAGCCACTCTAGCAAATTAGTCAAACCCAAGGAAAGGGTCATTGGAAGCCCCAATCTGTAGTATGTTGGTTAGAAGCACAGGTGATAACCTGGGCTTGCAAATGGCATTTGAAGTTGAGGAGTGGGGAGGGGAGTCTTGTAGGACTGAACCTTTAATCAGTGGAATCTAATGCCATCTCCAAGTAAATAGTGTCAGAATTGAGTTGAATTCTTAGACTCCTTACTGGTGCCTAAGAATTTCTTGGTGGTGTAGGGAAATACCTCTACGCATTTGGTGACCAGAAGTGAAGTGTTTTGTGTTAGTAATAAAGGTGACTCACAGGAAA